TTTCTCTCTCTCTCTCTCTCTCTCTCTCTCTCTCTATCTATCTATCTATCTATCTATCTATCTATCTATCTATCTATCTCTCTCTCTCTCTCTCTCCCCCCGCACACACACACACAAAAAAAAAAACCTGGTTTGACTCTGATTCTTTGAAATGCAAGTGGTGGAATCCTTCTTCTTTCTGCTTTCTTTTTTTCTTTTCAATGAATCTTTTTTTCTCTTTTTCTTTTTTAAGATGCTCCATTCTATTGGTGGGGAGCAGCACCTGCTGGAAACCGGATCCGAATCTTTCTTTTCTTGATGCCAAGGGTTGAATCTTTTGTTTCTTTTGTAAGCTTTCAATAAATGGATACCCCGTATTCTGTTAAAATGACCAGCTAGCTGGCGAGACTGGCTCTCCCTCGGCTATTCAGCTTACGTCTCTCAAGAGCGAAGGCGAGTGAAATACCTCTCTCTCTCTCTCTCTCTCTCTCTCTCTCTCTCTCTCTCTCTCTCTCTCTCTCTCTCTCTCTCTCTCTGCATATTGAGTGTGTGTGTGTGTGTGTGTGTGTGAGAGAGAGAGAGAGAGAGAGTGAGAAGGAGATACAGAGGAAAGAAGGACCACAGCTGGAGCTAAATTTTGAACGACGTCTATTGTGTGGAACAGAGTTCCACGCTCGTTCCAAGCAAGATGATGAAGCGTGAAAGAAAGCTGATGGTGTGTCGCGCGCTCATGGATTAATTATATTACATTAATACTAGATGATGGCGATGAGTAGGAAGAAACAGAAGCGGCAAAAAACAACCGATCAAACCCATCACCGCTCGTTATTCACAGATTTTAATCAATCCATCCACCATCTTGATGAGTGGAAGAAAGCTCAACTGAGAGGGATCAGTTGTGGAATTGATGAGCATCGTGAGTCCCCCGACCCGATTAAAATCGTTCGGATGCAATGAATCCAATTCTGCATAGGATTCCTTCGCAGAGCTGATAAGCATTTGCTGCTGTTGGCGTCAACAACGGCGGCAGCACGCGCAAAACTTCAACGAGGAAAGATGCAACCGGTCTGTAGATGGAGCTTTTTCTCTATAAAAAAAAAAAAAAAAAAAACCGTCTGGCAACATCCCCACCAGTAGAATGTGGAGATTGATTTTTTTATTTTATTTTTTAAGAAAAAAAGATATGATAGCAATCGAGTGACGGAAGGACCACTTATAGAGTCCAGATGTGAAGAGACGACAGCATAGCAGCACACAGAAAAAAAGAGAAAGGTACATCATAGGGGAGAAGCGCCCAAATGATGTAGTAGTAATATCACACAAGCAATATTTCACCATCTTTTTTTTTTCCCATTTTTTCATTTTTTAACATCTAGAACCTTTCCAAAAAAAAAAAAAAAAAAAAATTTAGAACCATTTACGGTGGGACTTGTAGTGATGACGAGCGCGCCGCCATGAAGAGAAGACAGTGGCCTGAAGATTATTATCCAATTGGGATCTCTCTCTCTACCCTGTCGCTCTCGCTATCTCTATCTCTTCCTCCCTCGCTTCCGTTCCTTTGCAATACCCCTTTCTCCGTCCCTCTCTCTTTCGCTCCAGGGGTTGTGTCCTGTTACTAACGATAGATAAATATGGCCTCTGTCATTACCCCCCCCCCCCGTCTCTCTCTCAGAATCCCTTTTCCCTACCCGCTCGCCTTTTTCCCTGTCTTCCTTGTCCATTGCCTCCCCCCCCACGTGGGTGAGACGATGCGGTCCGATTCCATCTTTCAACTTCTGCCCTCCATTTCCACTCCCAATCTTCTCCCCCCCGATCCGTTTTTCCCCATCCTCTGCTCTAATTGTCCTGTGTCTGTCGCCTCTCTCGTGCCGTCCTTCTCTCCGCCTTTCTCTCCTCCGTTGAGATCGTCTTCGACCTCCTACTCCCCCAATACTCCACTTGGCCTCTGCGGATGTCGTATCTACTTTCCTGTTTTGCTCTCTCTGTCGCTCTCAGCTTTCTCTCTTCGTTGCTCTCTCTCTCTCTCCATCACCAGCATATCCACATTTACTTTATCCCTCTCGTGATTCAGGTCCTTCGTCATTCTCCTGCTCTCTCCTTTCCTTCCAACCGGTTTCCCTCCCTCCGCGCTGAGCCCCTCTTCCTGCCTTGCAATCTCTTCTTCCCCACCTTTTTGTCTGGATCCCGCTACACGACATGCATTCCTTACCCTGTTCGTTGCCTTGGCCTTCTTTCCCCTGCACTTCATCGGTTCCTGCATCCTCACCCTGATTGGCTGGCATTCCTACCTCCTCCTCTCGATCCCACATCCTGAATCGGCCTACTCCCAAAGCGCTCTACCCATCCACTTCTTCAGAAGTTGTGTGTGTGTGTGTG